AATGCAAGAGAATGAGTTCCTGGTTGATACAAGAGTGGCCAGAATATTGGTCAATCTTATGGTATATCATACCTACCAAGGAACATCACTACTCTGATAGAGGATATGGTCTTTAACTTCCTAGCTGTTTCTGGGAGATGCTACTATCAAGACTAATACTACATCCATCACTTGCATACAAAAGTGAGTACACAGCTGGCAACATATCGGAAATCGTTGGTTGGGAATTGTGAAAACAATGTAGACTGAATACAGTGATTTATAACTTGAATATGGCAATATATTTGTGAAACCAGATGATCATTTGAGTTGAAAAACAGCAACTCACCATCATATATATACTGGTAATGCACCTCCAAACAACCAATCACAGCACTGACTTCTCTGGAGTATTAGAGACATAGCCAGAACTGAGATGTAGATCTTTGAATAGTGATTGGTTATTTTCAGTAATGATTTTCCGAATGTTCTTTTGTTGATTTTAGATGGGAGAGCACAATAATTTGCATTGACATCTTTCTCTTGTTGAACATGTATGAATGAGTAGATGGGTTAGAAGGTTCCTGTTTGTTCAACACTTTATATCTGGCATCCAGATGTTGTCAACTCAGATATTTTGTATGAGTTTCACATGATGTCATTTGGACTCTGTAATGCTTTCACCATTTTTGAAAGGCTAATCAATTTTAACCTGAAGGGGCAACAGTGGGAGAAATTACTGGTTTATGTCCATGATGTTAAGTTGTTCGGTTGTGCATTTGAGTCTGTGGCTGAGAACCTGAGAATATTATTCCATCAGATAAAGAAAGCAAACTTGAAACAGAAACCAGGAAATTATGCACTCGTATGCAAGGAAGTGGAATTTCTTGGTCATATTTTAGGCAGAAATGGAGTATCTATGGACTCTGTTAAATTAACAATGAAAATAGAGTGGCCTCAACCTATAACCAAGGAAGAATTCTGCAGTTTTCTTGGTTTTGCACCATATTACTGATAGTTTGTGGCCAACCTCTCTAAGACATCAGCACAGTTGTCTGTTCTCATTAAAATTGAAATGCACTTTGGATGGAGCTCACTGGCATATCCAAGACAAGACAGTAAATTCCTGTTGGACACTGACACCAGTGGTAATGAAATTGAAGTAGTAGTATTTCATTTGCAGAGCAGAGTAGAATGTATAATCATGTATGTTAGTTGAACACTCATGGTTCCCAAATGTAGACACTGTGCAGCAAAGAAGGAACTGCCTGCAGTTGTAGTCATTATAAAACACTCGTGAATCTGCTTGTATGGTAAAAAGTTAATGGATTGGGTGGACCATGATTTTCTGAAATGATTAATGAACTTTAAGAAGTCAGAAGGGGTGATAGCATGTTGGATAACAAAAAAAATATGAATGGATTGTCTCAAAATATAGTGAAATCCTGTCCATTCACTGAATGTCCTGGTCCTAAACACACTGTGAGAGCTGAAACTATTTATACTATGGCAATATCAAACCATACAGTAGTATATCCATGATTAACACTTTGGAAGTTCCAAGAAGAGTAACTGAAAGTCACAGAGCTAATATGAGCACTCTTTGCCATGCAGCAAAGTAAAGCTCAGCCAGCAAAAATAAAGGAACATACCATGTGTTACTTGTATGTTGAGGTATGAAAACTAGAATCTAGTGGGCCCCAGAGCTCTAAGGCAAGAGATTCTCCAGACTTTGCCTAACACAAAGACTAGAGGGCACCAAGAAGATATTTGCACTTTTGCTAACATTAAATGGTGGTTCTACTGGTCGCATGTGAGTCAAATTGTTCAACAATATTATGAATACTGTACAGAGAATAAGTCAATCGAGATAGAATAAACTTCAATAGTAAATTTTTGGATTTTACAGAAGATAGTCTTAGATATTGCTGGTCTATTCCTTGAGACAGAATGTAATCAATGGTACACAGTTATTGTCATTGACTACTTCGTGAAGTTGGCCAAGGTTTATCCATTGGTTAATATTTCAGTACAATCCATGGTTGGTGGTAAGAGTGTGGATTTGCTAGGACTGAGGCTATCCAATAATTTGTCTTAATCTCCTCTGTAGCGCCAGCAGACAATACTTACTGTTAAAGCTGGTTCACTAATCAAATGTTACAATATATGTGCCTATAGATGCTGAATGCAAATCCTCAAATTTTTGTTTAGCTCACCTCATCTCCCTTACTAGGAAGAGACTGATGCTGCCCATGGATAGCGTGCATTTGGAGCACCAGAAGATAACCACAAGGATCAGGGAGCTAACTTCAACAAATTTCCTTCATTTATGTTTTCGATTTAAATTAAAAAGAACAAATATTCTAAAACGAAACACTGAGGTACACCACATATGACATTAATCCAACTTCACTGAAATCCATTTACAAAAACCCTCTGCTTTCTTACATCCAGCAATTTTCTATCCAATGACCAAACTCATCCCCCACTCCTACGGACATAACTTTATAACAAGTCTTTTATGTGACACTTTGTCACATGTATTCTGAAAATTCAGATACACCAAACTCACATCTGTACCCTCATCTACCTCAGAAATATATTCTTCAAAGTATTTTTCAAAGATTAGTAAGGCAAGCTTTTCCCCTAGTGAAATCATGCTGATTCTCCAAGAAAAATTTGCTAAATGACTTTGCAAAACATCGTTTATCAAACTGTCAAAAAAATGTTCCCACCACTAACGGAAGAATAATATGGCCATAATTACCAGGACAATTTTATCACCTCCCCTGAAAAGAAGAATAACAATAGAAAACTTTAATCATCTGTTTTTTTACCACTTACAACAAATAGTAACATGTGGCTCACATATCCCATCCATATCTTCCTACAAAACCCTTTAGAGATATTATTTGAACCTAGGAGCCTTATTATTCTTTAAACTTCTCTTTTTTCATTAACAAACTAAATAAGATCGTAATGAATTTTGTTCAATCATGTTTCTATCTAGCAACTGTTCAGGTTGAGGAATACTGCTGAGACCTTCATTAATGACAACTGAAGGCCCCCAGTGCCACAGCAGTATGTCTATGGACTTACAACTTACAACGCTAGAAACCGGGTTTCTATTCCCGTGGTGGGTGTCGAGCACAGGTAGCCTATTGTGTAGCTTTGTGCATAACTACAAACTAACAGACAACTGAAAAAAAAGTATAATTTGATATCTCAGCTATCCCATATTCATCAGATATTAGCCTTCCTGTATCATTCCTGAAAGGTCTTACTCCCATCCTAACATTTTGCTTACCCTTAATGTATTTGAATAAATCCTTACTATTAATTTTTTCTATTTTTAACCAAACTTTTATTTTTTCCATATATATTTTTTTAATTTCCTAATTTTTCAATTGATCAGTTCTCTTGATCCTCTATAATCCTCCACATATCCCATTATTACAATCAATTTAAACTTCTTATACCTATAATGCTTTTCTTTAATTTTATCCTTTATACCCTTTGTAAGCTGACCTGGTTTTTTAATTGCAGTCACTCTTTTTGCCTATAAGGAACTGTCTATCTTGAATACTTAAGAATTTTTTATAAATATTTCCGTATTTTATCAGTATCTCCAACTAATTCAGTTGCCCAATTCACAGCAGAATTGTTTTTATTTCTTTAAAATTAGCTTTTTCGAAATTTGTAATCAAAATTTCTTTATTCTTTATCTCCATATGCAGCAAAACATCAAAGGTAATTGAGAAATGATCGCTCGCACTCATATTGTTACGTCTCCGTTT